CAGCCCTCAGCCAGCCCCGCTCGGCCCGCAGCCCTCAGCCAGCCCCGCTCGGCCCTCAGCCCTCAGCCAGCCCCGCTCAGCCCGTGCCCGCAGCCCGCAGCCCTCAGCCAGCCCCGCTCAGCCCGTGCCCTCAGCCCTCAGCCAGCCCCGCTCGGCCCGTGCCCGCGGCGCAAGGGCGCAGCCTTGGCACGCGAGGGCGGGTTCGGGCACGGCCAGGAACAGCCCAGCGGCGCAGCCTCAAGGGTGACACAGCCGATTCTTTGTCGGCTGCACTTCAGGTGACTTTCACACGGGGCAGGGCACGGTGCGGACAGCAGAGCTCCGAGCCAGCAGCGAGCCGTTCAGGCCGGTGACAGGGGCCGAGCGTGCGACCGCCGCCCCCCCGGCCCGCACTGACCTGTGCCCGCGGCCCCTCGGGGTCCCGGCAGGTGGCGAAGATCCAGGCCGGGGGTCGCGGCGAGCCCAGCAGCTGCTTCACCAGCTCCAGGCCGATGCCGCGGTTGGAGCCGGTCAGCAGCACCGTGCGCGCCGCCGCCATCGCCGCCCGCGGCCCGGCCTGGCCCGGCCTGGCGCCGCCTCCCGACCCCGCGGGCAGCGCCGGGCAGCGCCGACCCCGCGGGGGAAAGCCTGAGGGGGCGGGATTGTGTCTGTCCGAATGTGTCTGTGTGTGTCTGTTTGCCTGCCCGCCCAATGTTCAGTGCCAGCACCACAACCGCGTCCCAGCCCTGCGTCCTGAGGGGAGGAGCAGGGGTCTCGGAGCGGGCCGGGGGCGCTGAGGGGACTCTTGGCAAGGGTGGTGGTGAGGGAGGAGGTTTGCAACAGGTCTGCCGTGGTGTCTGCAGCACCTTTAGCACACTAATCTTCACCACAGATAAGAGTAAAAAAAGCCCCAACCCAAACTAAACCCGTTTAGCGTGAGAAAGTACTAGCCCCTTTGCAAGCTGTTTTTATTGCCTGCCCTGAAATGCACATGATTTGTCTCTTTCCCTGACCATCAGATGCAATAAATCTGGTAAACAAATGGATCCACGAGGATGCTCTGAGGCTGTAGCATCCCTCCGATAGAGATGGGCTGAGAGAGTTGTGATTGTTCAGCCTGGAGATGAGAAGTTCTGTGGAGCCTTTAGAGCCCCTTCCAGCGCCTCAAGGGACTCAGAGCTGGAGATGGACTTTGGACAAGGGAAATGGCTTCAAACTCACAGAGGGCAGGGTTAGATTGGGTATTTGGAAGAAATTCTTCCGTGGGAGAGTGGTGAGGCCCTTCCATAGGCTGTCCAGAGAAGCTGTGGCTGCCCCATCCCTGGAAATGCTCAAGGCCAGGTTGGACAGGGCTTGGAGCAGCCTGAAGGTGTCCCTGCTCATGGCAGAGGGGTTGAATGAGATGGTCTTTATGGTTCCTTACCACCAAAATGCTTCTGTGATTTAGGCAGTTGGGGCTTGCAGGTGTTTTGAGGGATGTTTTCCCCTTTTTGTTGCTGAGTATCAGGTACCTGGTTGAACAGCTGCACCAAAGGGGTAGTGTAGAGTAAAGCAAGGAAAAGGTTTACTGGCATCTAGGGATGGGAAAACAGGGCTGGAGGGAAAAGGGAGAGCAGAAAATAGATAATCAGCATCAGCTGAAGGATGGTGTCTGGAGGGGGTCTGCATTTAACAGCCCTGCTGCCAGCCTGGAGGTGGGTGTTATTGTTTTATTTTTAGCTGTAATATGGACAGCCAGATACCCATTAAAATCCCATTACAGTCCCATTAGAACTGGGATCTCAACAGTGAAGTAATGACTGAGCAACTCTGATGTATATAAGAGTTGTTATTTATATTGCTTATTTTCATCCTTGTTTGACAAACACCACGTAAAACATCTCTGATACTGATAAATACATCAGAAACAAAATATTTATATCAGTTGGGTGATAGCATCAGGTGATTTGTGCTAACTCTATCCTGTTCCATGGTGGTTCAAGTACATGAGAGCCTCTGCTCACCAGTTTACTTCAGGATATTAAAATGCTTTTTGACTTTTTTTTTACAGAAGTTGGAATTTAATAAAAATAAATGTTTGATTATATTACTAAATAGTAAGGGAAAAAAACCCTTCATTTTAGCAGATATTTGGATTAAAGGTCCCATTCTCCTTTTCCTGCCTCCTTCTGTGCTCAGGCCATTAATTCAGTGACTTCTCAGCAGAAGTGCTGCTCTGTCTATGGCAAAGTTTGGCAAATAATGACCGAGGGGTACCAACACTCAGGGTGAACCACAGCCAGGGTTTGGCCACCTGTTCCACACAGATCCTGCACGCTGCAGGCAAATTACACTGATGAATTCTTCCCAAAAAGTGCTTGTTTGAAAAAGCCTTGGAGACAGGAATCCCCAGTGATCTGCTGTGCAGAAACAGTTGAAGTGCAGCCACAGCTGAGGGCAGAAGGAGCCTGTTCTGAATGCTAATGTGAACAGTGAAAGAAAGGCAGCTCCAAGTATCAGTAACTGAGTACTTTCCGGGCAGGTGTGGGCATTGCTTGACAGCTTTTTTGCCTCTGTTCCCCATGAATGAAATAGAGGATTATCCATTCTTGGAAAACCTTGTTAGTTAAGTGTTGGGAGGCTTCCAGCAGGTAATAATGAAAAATGCAATCAAAAAGAACACCAACAAATACTAATGAAACAAAAAAGCCCCAAGGCTTACCCGAGTGCTCTAGTTTCACTACAACAGGCATTGGGAAACTCGTGCTGCTTGGTAAAGCACAAGACTGATATTGGTGAATTTTGGAGAATTTGAAGGTGTGAATTATAGAATCCTAGAGTGTTTTGGGTTGAATGGAACCTTAAAGATCACCTCGTTCCATCCCCTCTGCCATGGACAGAGACATTTTCCACTAGACCTCCCTAAGAATATGAAGAAGTATTTGAGTTCACTTAGTTAAAAATCAAAACTAGTAATTCCTGTTATCAGCTCATTGATGCTGTGATTTGGTTGAGTTTCTGCACTGTAAGGAACATGTGGGCACATGTCCTTTGCACTGAGCTGATGGATTCATCATAAGTGCTGCTTTAAGTTACTGGATTAAAAAAATGCAGCTAGAGGAAGAGGGGGAAATATCTTAATTAAAGAAAAAATGGATGTAAGTGGGGTTTTTTCCCCTTCCTTTTTATAAATATGGTTTGAAACCAGAATGAACAACTATGGTAAGTTTAAATTTCTGCTGATAAAATACTAATGCAGCCCATTTTACTCTAGCAATGTCCACAGCTACTTACTATGCATTTTTGGTTTCACAGACTGTATTTTTTCTGCTCAGCTGTGTGGGCAATGAGTCACATCATTTAGGCTGGCATTGCATTGGAGTGGCATAGTGCTCAGCTTTTAACTTCTTTACAGGGAGTAAATTTTCCATAGTCCTTTAAATGCTTTTTAATTTAAAGATTATACTCACTCTTTCCTGCTTAAATATCTTTCCTTAATAAGACTTAATGATTCTTTCCAACTGGATTCCTAAATTAACATCTGCATTATCATGTATCTATTCCTAAACTTTACTGTGTCTCCTTTTCTCACTTCAATACTCAGATGTCAAACCAAGGCAGTCACAAGCTGATCATTTAGCCTGTGCCTTAGTGTTCCTGAGAGGGAGCATATCTGCCACGTGTGACAGCTTGTTCTCAGCCATCCCCATCACTAAATCTAATAGTGGGAAAGAAAATTTGTCTTGTTTGGTGGTTCTGAGGTCCTCTTCATGGCACTGTGCTGAAGCAGGCAGGATAACCCAGCCACCTGTCCTTAGAGGATGGGAGAAAAGAAGGTCAGTGAGGATCTGTGCTGTCCCCATGGGTCCTGGCAAAGCAGTTCTGTCCCTGTGCTGCCAGCCCTGCTGCACCCAGGTAGCTGAGGCATCTTGACTGCTGTCACAAGGGGAATATCCCCAAAAGGTGTTTCTGAGCCCAGTGTGAGGCCCCAGGCTGGCACAAGATCAAAACACAGTGGCCCAAGAGAGGTTGCTCGGACAGTGTGAGCATTTTAAATCCTCAGTCATAGAATCACAGAATGGTTTGGGTTGCATGGAACCTTAAAGACTGTCTTGTTCCAACCCTGCCATGGGCAGGGACACCTTCCACTAGACCAGGTTGCTCAGAGCCCCCCAACCTGGCCTTGAACACTTACAGGGATGGGGCAGCCAGTTTCTCTGTGTAATCTCTGCTGGGCCTTCCCACCCTCACAGGGAAGAATTTCTTCCAAATACCCAGTCTAACCCTGCCCTCTTGTCAGTGTGAAGCCGTTCCTCTTGTTCTGTCACTCTATGCCCTTGTCCAAAATCCCTCTCCATCTCTGATACAATGCAGGTGTAATCTGGATGAGTCTGCTTGGAAAACAGCAAAGCTATGACAAAGGTGCCATGGGAAGTTCACTTGGGAGCTGCAGGTAAGCTCAGGCTCTTGCCCCCAGTCCCTGCATCCTTTCACAATGGGGTGTCACTACTCATAGAATCATATTGTGGAATCACAGAATGGTTTCTGTTGGAAGAGGCCTTACTCATTACTTAGTTCCAACCCTCCTGCCATGGGTTGCCAACCCCCACCAGATCACTAATCCTCTTCAGCCCAAAAGAAAACTAATCAGGGAGGGTGGGTACTGCCCAGCTTCTGTTACAGTGCTGGGTTGGCCTCACCCCACCTCTCCCGTGGGCCGCTCACTTATCACTATCTATTGATTCTTTAGCAAATGACTAATAGGTGATGACAGACCTGAATGCATTGTGGAGCAATGGGGGAAAAAAAAAAAAAAAAAAAAAAGATAAAATCGGCTTGATAAATAGCAGTGAGTTTGTTTCTTATTTATAGTAGATTAAATGTACTAAAACTAATTGTGCCACACCCCTGTTCCCCTGGCAGGCAGAGAAAAGCAAGTTTCTCCATGTTTCTGTCAGAAGCATTGTCATTGTGCAATCACCTCCTTGACTGAGGGCACGCTTGAGTCTCCAGCAACTGAGAGTGGAAGAGGTGTGACTGCCTCTTGGAAAACTGGCTCCATGTCTTCCCAGTGTGGTGATGTGAAAATAATCCATGGGTAAAACGTGCAGCAGCCTGGGGGTCGTGGGAGAAGATCTACAGTGCCCCTGAGCTTGGTGTTAGTGAGGCTGCACCTTGAATCCTCTGTTCAATTTAGGGCCACTCACAGCAAGAAAGATTAACGTGCTGGAGTTTGTCCAGGGAAGAGCAACGGAGGTGGGGAAGGTCTGAAGCACAAGTCTGATGAAACAGCACAAGTTACAGGATGAAACAGCCTCAGGTTGTGCCAAGGGATGTTTCAATTGGATATTAGGAAAAATTTATTCACAGAAAGGACTTTCAAGCACTGGTACACAGACTGCCCAGGAACGTGGTGGTGTCACCATCCCACAAGTGTTTAAAAAATGCGTGGTTGTGGCACTTGGGGACATGGTTTAGTGGTGGAATTGGCATTGTTAGTCTAATTGTTGAAATCAATGATCTTAGAGGCCTTTTCCAACCTAGATGATTTCATAATTCTGAGGACTTTAATGCTCAGCTTAAGATTTAGGCCACGCAAGAACATTTCAGAGCAAAGGAAGCATCTGAATTCCTTCTTAGGAGCTGGACCAAGATCCTTTCCAGAGGCATGGGGACAGCAGCAGCCCTTGTGATGAGACTGGGCTGCAAGGCAGCGAGGCTGGTTTCTTTCTCCTCTGCCTCTTTGTGCCAGGCTGGGCTTAGACTCCTGGTGAAGCAGTGCTTGCTTAAACTCTAATAATCAATAATGCAGTGTGTGGCCCCAGAGCAAAGTCAACATGACAAAGTTACAGCTCCAAAACAGTGGAAGGCTACACAAATGAGGTGACACAGCAAAAACAGGAGACTTAAAATGTTAATTGTTTTGTTTTCTGATGCTGTCTGCTTCTGAGTCATTGTGGAGGTTTCAAACTGGCTGTGGGTGATGGCCTTATCCTCCACCTAGAGGAAGAAAACCATGGAAGTCTATTTGGAGGATTTGAGCTCTGGTGCATCTGTTGGCAAGTATAGTTGAGGTCTGTAGTCCTTGAAAAGGAAATACTGAAATGATCTATGGAGCCTGAATTCCAGGCCAGCCATGTGGGAGATCCTCAGTGAGAAATCAGTCTGACACTGAAAGGCCCAAAGTTTTATACTGCTGGTAAGTGGTAGGAATTCACAAGGGAAAAGAAGTGTCTCAACCCAATATGAAAAATTCAAAAAGTAGACAGAAGTCCAATTAACCAAGGAAACAAAGTAGAAAAAAAAAATTGCATGGAACTTAAGAAGAGGCTCAGACTTGGCAGAGAGAAGATATGGGATCGGCTCACCATAGAAGCTGCCAGTGTGCACCTTCCCAAATGGGTTTGGGGACGGTGCCCTGTGCAGGTGGCCCCAGGTCAGAGCGGGAAAGGACCCGCTTATCTCCCAGTGTCTGCCAGCTGAGCCCCAGAACACAGGCTGGAGTGGGCAGGAGGACATCAGCTGCTGCCAGAGCATGAAGACACACTTGGCATTGCCACTGGGAGGTAGCTGTTCTGCTTAACGCTGCTGCCAGGATATCCTGGGGCAGAAGGTGACATGAGCAGTGTTGTCTCCATTGCTGCCCAGCAGCCTGTGCAATGGCTCTGGGACTCAATGTAGGAGGACAAGGGGTTGGCAAGAGGTTTCTGGGGGTGGGTCTTCACCTACAGTGGGGCAGGAGTGCATGGTGTACTTACACGCCTGATCCAGCCTTGCAAACCTGTAATGCATCACGTGAGGTACTGGACAGCACTGGGCTTCACTGGCAGTACCACAGAACAGTCAGTACCTCATGGCAATAGGTGAGGTGGAGAATAGGCTTTAAGCAGGACATTTTCTTTGCAGGTAAATGTCCCAGGTGCCTGAGTCCTCTGTGGCTCTGAACAAAGGGCCAGCTCAACTTAGGACAGCATCCCAAAGGATGGGGGGGATGATCTGCATCATGGCGCTGTGCCAGCCATGCTGGTTCCCACCCTTCTGTCAGGAGACCACGCTGGGTTTGCTCTCCCATTCCACAGGTCTTTGGCTACACAATGAGGAGAGGTTATTGCCTTGGAAGAGGCAGGAGCAAGGCAGAGAACATTTGCTCAGGGTCACCTGAGGCTCAGCTTGGTACAATGTGCAAAGATCATCAAGCCCACAGGATTCTTGTGTCAAGCCCACCTGAGCCGTGGAGCTTCCCACATCAACCCACATGCTGCTCCCTCCGTCTTCACCCACAAGACCCCCACCTGGCTTATGGCATCAGGTTACCCAAGGAATGCATACTTTTCCTGTAAAAAACCAAGTGGTTTTTGCCGTTAGGTAACTGGGAGTGGTCCCCAGCCAGAACATATGTCCTGGAGCTCAAAGAGCTGGAGCAGTTGCTCCTCCCAGAGAGAAGCCACATTAGTGCAAGCTGTGAGTAAGTGGGGTGGGACACGCTAGAAGGAAATATTGGAGAGCAGAGCAAACAGTGAGAGCTGGAGCAGAGGAGAACAAGCAGCATGGCAGAACTTTGTGTCGGCTCTGTTCTGGTGACTGGGGCCAACCGGGGACTCGGCCTGGGGCTTGTCCAGCATTTCCTGAGGATGCCAAAACCACCTCAGTGGATCTTTGCGACCTGTAGGGACCCCAAGGGACAGCGAGCACAGGTGAGACTGGGCAAGAGGCAGTGACTGTGCTGGGGGATGGCAGCACTTGGTGTCAGGGGAGATTGGAACAGGGATGGTGTTTGCAAGTGTCTGGAGCTTCAGCTGGGCACCTGGGGCCCAGGGCAGCTCGGCTGAGACAACGTGGGAGCAGTTGTGCATGGGATGTGTGGAGGGGACAGGGATACATGGTGTGTGCAGGAGTTGTGGAGTGTTCCCCCTGTATCATGATCAGGGCAGCTGGAGCAGGATGCTGGGCACTTGGTGGTGCAGGGATGGAGCTGGAGGGACACAGGGGACTTTGGCTGGCTTAGCAGGGTGAGCCTTGGAAAAGCTGTTCCATCCTGTTGGTACCAATGTTGTGACCCCTCTTGCAGGAGCTACAGAATTTGGCCTCCAAACATCCCAACCTGGTCATTATCGCTCTCGGTAGGTTCTCTCTCACCCCAGTTCCTCTGGCGTGTGCTTGGGCACTCATCACAGACCTAGGAGCTGCCTTTGCGGGGCACTTCCTTTCGGGGAAACAGGGGATCCCAAACCACCACAGGGTCACTGAGCTCCAGTTTATTGCCCCTGCAGAAGTTGCTGACCCCGCCAGCATCAAGGCGGCTGCAGCCAAGGTTGGGGAGCACCTGGGGGGCTCTGGGCTCAACCTCCTCATCAACAATGCTGGAATTGTGAAACCAAAGACCCTTGATAATGAGACTCTGCAGGACATGACCGAGACTTACACCACCGCTGGAGCATAGTGTGGGTCCACGGTAGTGCAGGGATGGAGCCAGAGCAATGAGGGCTTTGCCTGGGAAAGGCTGAGCCTCTGCACAGGCCCTGCAGCCTCTCACTGTGCCCTCTGTTTCAGGAGTTACAGAATTTGGCCTCCAAGCACCCCAACATCATCATCATCCCGCTCGGTAGGTGCCCCGAGGTGCGGGTCCTTTGCCCCAGTTCCTCTGGCGAGTGCCCAGGCTGGGCACACCCTGGGAGCTGGGAGGGAGCTGTGCCAGCGGGCTGGTCCCTCAGGGCCATCGGGCACTGCCACCTCTGGGGGAACAGAGGGGACTCCAGCATGGGGACACAGGCTCTGACCTCCCCTGTGCCGGCTCTGCAGAAGTCGCCGACCCCGCCAGCATCAAGGCAGCTGCAGCCAAGGTTGGGGAGCACCTGGGGGGCTCTGGGCTCAACCTCCTCATCAACAATGCTGGAATTTTGAAACCAAAATCCATTGATAATGAGATGCTGCAGGACATGACCGAGACTTACACCACCAACACGGTGGGACCCCTGCTGATGGGCCAGGTGAGTGTCCAGCACTACAGCACAGCTCAAAGTGGACATTATAGATGGAGTGAAGGGCCAGTGGGAGGGGCTCCTGTCAGTGCTCTGGTGCCCTGATGGGCTCTCAGTTGATGAGAAGCTCAGGGAGCCATGGGCTGGAGCTCAGGAGCTGGAGCCTGGCAGGGAAGAGGAGGGAGGATGCCCCAGTGCTGGTGTGCATATTGCCCAGTGTGGAAGGAGCTTCTACCCAGCCCTGTGCCATGTCCATGTGTGCTCCTGTCCCCTCTGTCTCCTCGCAGGCATTTCTGCCCTTGCTGAAGAAGGCTGCCCAGGGGAGCCCAGGCTCAGGGCTGAGCTGCAGCAAGGCTGCCATCGTCAACATGTCCAGCATTGGCGGCTCCATCACTTCTTGCTTTGGTTGGGAGATGTTACCAGGTGTCTCCTACCACTGCAGCAAGGTGCTGTCACACGTGCTGGAGACAAATTCACTTCCCCTGCCCTGCCCAGCTGTGGGCCCCCTCGCAGCCCCCCTTCCCCTCTTACCACCATCTCTGCCTTGTCTCCCACAGGCTGCTCTGAACAAGCTGAGCAAGTGCCAGTCCCTGGCCTACAAGGAGCACGGCATCCTCTGTGTCGCTCTCCACCCCGGCTGGGTGCAAACTGACATGGGCAGCTTTGATGGACACACGGTAGGAATTCCCCTGGGGAGGGTCCATCAGCTGTCCTCCATCTCTGAGAAGGAGACTGGGGCCTTCCTGGACTGGGAAGGGAAGGTCGTGCCCTGGTGAGATGCTGATTCAGGATTCCAGCTGTGAGGACCTTTGCTGCTGCACCATGTTGTACCTGTCCCTTAGTAAATGACTGTCCACAAACAATGAGTAGCATTGTGTGAGCCTCCTTCCCTTGATCTTCTGTTAACTATCACTGAGAATCCTCACTGGTGCTTTGAGAGTTCTTCTCAGTTATTTCCGCATATCATTGAGCTGGGTTGGCCTGAGTATTTGTTCCTGTCTAACTGGGAACCTGGACACCATCCTGATAGGAATTTGTCCCTGAGCTTGTCCCAGAGGTCTCCCTCAGAATGGCAGCACCACTTTACAATGACTCAGACACTCCTCCCAGTGAGTCCTTTCTTGTTTGTCCATTCAAAGTCCAAGCTCATTGTCAGCTCCTCTACCACATAGGTCAGGAAGACAAAACTTGACGTGATCTTCTTGGCTTGCTTATGCCCTTCTGTGTTCCTCCAGCAGAGATCAAGGTAGTAAAAAACACCCATGAAGACCAGGGCCTCAAATGGGAAATCTGTAAGTGCAGTCCTGAGCCCTCTCAGGGATGGGAACCTATTCTGTGTTCCTGTTAAATCCTGTCTGTGCCTCTCTTCTCGGCAGCTCTGCTCCCTGTTGTGAGCTGGTGTCTGGAGGCAGGATAGGCTCTTGGTGTTGTGCACATTTCCATGGGGCACACGTGGCACTGGAGGCTCCAGAGATGAGCAGAGGTGCCCACGGGTCCTCTGGGACTCACCAGGGGGCTGAGGGAGTGGGGTGTGGGACCAGATGGACACTTGGGGTCCTTGGGGACACCAGGGATCCCCCACGGTGTGTCCTGTGGTGCATGGAGGGATGGGGAGGACGCAGCAGTGGGATGGTTCCCAGCGGGCTGTGGGCTGCCTTGGGTGTGGAGCAGGGAGCTCTCAGCCCCACAGAGTCCTTTCTTCACCATCAGCACTGAGCCCAACCTGCACCAGGGCCTGGAACAGCAAATGCCACTCTGGAGTCACCAAAGTACAATTCTAAAGGCACGAAACTGGGCAGGAAACACAGAGAAGGATCATGATCAGGCAAGGAGGTGGCAGTGGGACCCTGAGGATGATGAATGGTGGGGACCAGGGACATTCTGGATTACCCAGACCTCCCTGACTGTATCCTTCCCACAGCACCACTCAGCTCCCCATGGAGATCATTGTGACATTTGTTGTATTTTTAACTGAATTCCCTCAAATTTGTCGTATCACACAGGATGCTAAATTAATTAATTATTTCCTCACCTCTTGTATCACTTACATTTAGCTGAAATTATTATAACCCAGACTTTGCTGTGCTGTAGGATGATGACCCCACTGCATGAGGCCCCTCAACAGTGCCGTCCTTTGCAGCAGTCTCATTTCCTGGGTGCCACCCCAGCCCTGCCAGCGCTCTGCACAACTTAGGGCCCCCTTCCACACTGCCAAGGCTCTGAGCAACAGCACCCAAATCCATCTGTATCCTCCTTAATTACCCAGGATTTGCTGGCCAGGGGAGGGGACAGCGCAGGGACGTTCCCGTCGTGGTGCCGGCGGTGGCGGAGCCGGCGGTGGCGGAGCCGGCGGTGGCGGAGCCGGCGGTGGCAGAGCCGGCGGTGGCAGAGCCGGCGGTGGCAGAGCCGGCGGTGGCAGTGTCGCTTCTGCTGTGATCGTATAGTGGTCAGTACTCTGCGTTGTGGCCGCAGCAACCTCGGTTCGAATCCGAGTCACAGCAGCTTTTGTCCGGAGCCGGCAGGGAGGCGGCCCTGAGGGGTTGGAAGATGCCGAGTTTGGGTGACCAGACTCGCACCGACAATGATTTCCCGACCTGCAGTCACCGGGCAGGGAATCACCAGTGGGGCTGCAGTGACACTTCTGGGAAAGCACTCCAGCTTCTCCATTTTCCGGGCAAATGTGAGGATTTAGGAGAATTCCACTTCCCCACAGTTTTGCAGAAAGAGGACCAGAAGCTGCCGTGGGGGTGGGAGGAGGTGGGAGGCAGCAGCTTGCTCAGCTCCTGGCCCCCAGGCCACGCAGGACCTGCCACAGCAGAAGGAAGACAACCAGATTACAGTCCTGCTGCTGGCACTCCCTGCTCCAGGGGAGCAGGATTTTGGTTGCAGGGATGCTTTCACAGCAGAGGCAAACCCCACCCAGAGCTGAGGGGTGACCCTGCCAAACCGTAGGTCTGGGAACTCGAGGAAGAAGCAGATGGAGATCTCTGGGTGCGCCAGGAGATGCTCCAGCCTGGGGAAGCCTTTACCCTTCTGGAGCCTGAATGGAGTCACCCTGTTTGCTTGGACTTGGTGCCCTCTCCTGACAGCCGCGCAGAGCTCGCTCTGTCGGCAGCTTTCAAAGGGGAAGCGACACGAGGGGTGGCACAGGCAGGGTGGCACAGGCAGGGTGGCACAGGCAGCTGAGCCCACGGCTGTGGGGGCAGCACTCAGGCAGATGGGTTCAGGCCTCTGCAGGGCTGGTGCTTGGGAAAAGGAGAGGGTGGAATTTTTTTTTTTTCCTACCACGAAATAGATTTATTTTCTTTTGTATCTTATCCAGAGCAAGAAATGAAGGGGAAAAAAAATCATTGCACATTTACTTTTAGGATTTGCAGTTTATAGGGCATTTACTTGCATGACTTCACACTCCTCCAACATTCATTTAATGAAAACACATATCTCTTTGCTTAGGGAAAGCTCAAAAAGCATTTTTCCATTCTAAAGATAAAACAGGAGGAAGAGAAGACAAACATCTGGAGAAGTTTCCCATTAGCAGCAGCAGTGCCTGCCCCACTTTTACCCAGCTGAGCAGCAGAAACACAAGGAAATATATAACTTCTCATTCCTCTTTTTTTTTTTTTCCCACAGAAAGTCACTGTGATGTGTAAGGCCGCCAAACTTAGCTGAAAAACAATTTACTGTGTTTTAACAAGTGATGTATATTCAGGTTGAAAAACATTTTAAAAATTGACATAAGATGGGGGGTATTTTTAATGCAAAATTGCTTGATTTTCTGTTAAAAGAGTTTCTATTTTGCAAAAATACCCTGAAGTGTCTATACACCTAGAGGGCAGTCCAGAGCTTGACTGGGGCAGCGTGGTGGCCCCACAGGTCACTGCAGCCTCTGCTCTCACACGAACTGTATTCCCCTAAAGTGATGCAGGGCTCTGCTGGGAAACTCCCACTCGTCACCCTCCCAGTGCAAAGGGGTCTCCTGGTGTTCAGCTGGAGCCCCCTGTGTTCCAGGGTGTGCCCACGGCTCTGGCACTGGGCACCGCTGAACGGAGCCCGGCCTCCCTCCCAGCAGGGATGCTCCAGTCCCTTCAGGATCCTTATGGCCATTGTCACGAAGGAAAAAACAATTGCCAGCAGGAACCCAAACTTCAAGAACACTGCCTGAAGTCAGTTGGAGCACCCGAGCACCTTTTCTGGAAGAGGGAGCAGCGGAAACCACAATTCCCGGCTCCTTTCCTTCATCGGCTGCCCCGGGCGCTCCCGTCCCGGCAGGAGAAGATGCCGCTCCTGCCCCACGGCTCCTAAAGGATAAAGCCACCGCCTGAACAGGGGCTTGAACCCTGGACCCTCAGATACCCACCAGTGCCCGTCAGCATCCCTGTCCCACCTCACACTTCCCGGGAGGAAGAAGACATCTTCCCTTCAGCAGGAGAATATGATTTTGCCCCATCCCTTGAAACGTTCAAGGCCACTTTGGGTGGGACTTGGAACATCCTGGTCTAGAGGGAGGTGTCCCTGCCCATGGCAGGGGTTTGAAATGAGATGAACTTTAAGGCCCCTTCCAGCCAGAACGTGTACCCAGTGCAGGCTGAAGCTGCAGGGGCTTCCCCCAGCTGGGGCTGTCACAGAGGGAGCCTTCCAGGGGATACTGGGAGGATGCTGCACAGGGAAGGGGCAGTGCCCAGGATGGCACTGGGGAATGTGGCACTGCCATGTGGCACAAGGAGCTGCCCAGATTTGTCTTTTCCCATCCCAACCCCTCCATCTTCTCCCAGATACCAGGGGCTGGCTGGCCACGCTGGCAGCACCAGCATCCCCTGCCAAGGCAGCAGGAGTGCAGAGGGGCTGTGTTCACTGAGTGAGCAGCCCTGGGGCATCACCCCTAGAGAACCACACAGGGGCAAGGACGTGGCAGCCACCTGAACATGGCAAAGGCACACTGAAGCACCAGGAACTGCTCAAGGTGCAGCACCCCTGAGCAGGGCTCTGGGGCTCTAAAACCCCCTGGCGCTGCTGGACTGGTTCTGACAGGCCATGGCTTGTCCATAAGGCCAGTCCTTCGTCCCTCCCCGTCCCTCCTCCTCCTCACGGCCAGCCCCTTGCAGCTCTCCCCTCCCCTGCAGCCCGGGTGCCTCTTGGCTGGACCTGTGCAGAAATTATAAAAGGCAGTTTGGCCCGGAGCCGTGCGGAGGATCCCGGCCGAGCCCGCCATGGGGAGCGGCGGCGCCGGGGCTGCGCTGCTGACCTTCTCGCTGCTCCTGCAGCCCACGGCCCAGTTCTGGCTCTTCAACGTCCTCTTCCCACCCACCACCACCCCCGAAGCTCCCCCGACAAACAGCACGCCGCCCGTGGTGCTCGGTAAGGTCGCGCCGGCTGTGGGGGGAGCTCCGGCTGCCCTGCAGCCCCCAGAGGGGACAGGGGGGCTGGGGTCCTGTGCTGCTCTGGTGGCTCACTGGGTTTTGGCTGTCAGGGGTCTTGGCTGTCTGGATTGGAGCCACCGAGCGAGGGTGTCACACAGCTCCTCAGTTCCCTCCATTCACCGAGCTGGCCATGCCCAGGTAGGGCCTTTTGGAGCTGAGGGGATAAACTGGGCAGCCCAGGAGGTAAATGGGTCTCTGATGTCTCACACCTGGCCCACAGAGTGTTTTAGGGCTTGTTTGGGTCTGGGGAACTCTGCTGGCAAAGGGACAGGGGCTGCAGCACAGCCTCCTCTGCCACTTCCCAAACAGGCTGCCATTGGTGCGGGGGTGGATCCCCCACCTCTCACTTTCCTGAAGCCCACCCCATCCTGTGGCTGCTCCCACCCCCTGGAGATGGCCAAGTCATCCTCTGCTGCTGCAAAAGAGGATCCATTTAACATCCCAATGCCAGCTCCTGG